TATATATATATATATATATATATATATGTGTGTGTGTGTGTGTGTGTGTGTGTGTGTGTGTGTGTGTGTGTGTGTGTGTGTGTGTGTGTGTGTGTGTGTGTGTGTGTGTGTGTGTGTGTGTGTGTGTGTGTGCATGTACTACGTAGTAATCTATCTCTATCTTATTATAGTAATCCATTTCTATCTTTAACTAATAATCTGTCTCCCTTATCAAGTAATCTATCACAATCTTTATCTAGTAAGCGATCTCTCCTTTTATCTCTTTAATTCCCACGGACTCTCAAGCAGGGTGCCACGGGTGCTGTTAGGTTCCGTAGAAAAGTAAATCTACATTTGAAATCGTTCACATTCATCTGGTAATTATAGATTTTTTTGTCATTTACGCATGTTACATACATTCAACATATTCCAGAGGGGTAAGAACATAAACCAGAAACTTCATCATCCTAGCACTGCTGCAATTTCTCTGTATTTCAGTTCTCTAACGGTTAATAACTTTTCCCTAATTGGACGAGCTTCAGACAACCCTTCACGTTATTTTATGACTAAGACAAACTTTCCATCAAAGGATAATTATGTCACTCTCCGGTAAAAAAAAAATGAAGACATATAACTTAATCTGCAACAAGCATTTTGGAATGTAACATTCGTTTATTCAGTGTTTATATACTTAAGTATAAATGCAAGTATAAATACTTAAGTATAAATGAAGGAATTATGAATGGTGCTTTGTAATCTTTGAACCATGGAACCTTGTAAAGGCGAACATGCGTGGTCATTTACACGTAGCTGCACACGACCCTATTTCAGAGGCATGCACAAGCAGTAAACACACACACACACACACACACACACACACACACACACACACACACACACACACACACACACACACACACACACACACACATATATATATATATATATATATATATATATGCATATATATATATATATATATATATATATATATATATATATATATATATATATATATATATATGTATATATATATATATATATATATGTTTAGAGGATAAAAGTATAGAGCGGAATAGAAAATATTGTAAAGGCAAATTTTACAATTCCATAGTCATACAGAAATAGCACGGAAACGGCGTAATAATAAGGGAGAAATGGCCATCAGAAAGTTGTGCGAATAAGCCGTTTCGGATCCACCTCACAGCGCGCATTCGAATCCTTTGTGATTCAGTTGAATACAAAACTTGGCTCGTTTCTCTACCCTGCCTTTCCTTAAACTTGAATCTGCGAAAGTCGGATTTCTTATTCTTTTCCCTTTTCTCTTTAGTTGAAAATACGAAACTGTAAGAAGAGAGAGAGAGAGAGAGAGAGAGAGAGAGAGAGAGAGAGAGAGAGAGAGAGAGAGAGAGAGAGAGAGAGAGAGAGAGAGAGAGAGAGAGAGAGAGAGAGAGAGAGAGAAAGTTACCAGATAATTTAGACAAATTCTATCAAGCTGATTTAGGGACGAATAACCGCACTACGGAATATATGCTTTATAGTATTATCCGTTAATGTAATGAATATAAAATAAGTGAATAACAATAATTATGATGATATTGCTGATAATAGTAGCAATGATAATATAATAATTGTAATGATATTAATAATAATATTATTAATGATAATGAAAATGAACAATAACAATATAAAAAAAAATAATTGTTATTGTTATAATCATTGTTATCACTATCATTATCATCATTATCATTACCATTATTATTATAGTTATTATTATTGTTATTTCATTATTATTATTATTATTATTATTATTATTATTATTATTATTATTATTATTAATATATATTTTTATTATTATTATTATTATTTTTTTTTTACTATTACTATTATTATTATCATCATTACATTTCTTCCTCATCATCATATTATTATCATTATTTATTATTATTATTATTATTATTGTTATTAATTGTTATTATCATTTTCTTTATTATATATTATTTTCAGTATTTTTCCTATTACTATAAGAGTAATACTAAAATTATTGGTGATAATATTAACAACAACAAAGATAATGATAATAATAAGAATGATGATAATAACAATAATAATAATGATAAAAAACAACAATAATGACAATGATGATAATAATAATGATAGTGGTAGTAGTAATAATACTAATGATTATGATTATGATTATGATAATGATAAGGATAATAATAATCATATTGATAATATATATAGTATATATGATAATAATGATAATCATGATAATGGTAATAATAATAATGATAGTAGTAGTAATAATACTAATGATCATGATAATGATAATGAAAATGATGATGATAATAATAATAATAATAATAGTAATAATAAAAATGGTAATGATAATAATAATGACAATAATAGTGATAAAAATAGTAACAATAATAATAAAATTAATAATGAAAATAATAGTAATAATAATGAAAATAGTAATGAAAATAATAATAATAATAATATGATGATGATGATGGTAATAATAATAATGATAATAGTAATAATAATAAAAATAATAGTAATAATAACAATAATAACAATGACAATAATAGTAATAATATACAATAACTAGTAATAGTGATAAAAATGATAGTGATGTTGTTGAAAATAATGCAATTGATGGTAAGAATGGGAATGATGATGATAATAATATTAATAATAATAATAATAATAATAATAATAATAATAACAGCAAGTGTGTGTGTGTGTGTGTGATACTCGAATATAATTATTTTACTTAATCCCGCACTGGCTGCTCGGACCGGCAGTCGAGGCAGCTGAGGTCACTCGCTTTAAAATTCACCAATGGAGTTCAGCGAGCATTTTGCGGAGTGCATATTGAATAGGCGGACTTCTTAGGATTGCTTTAATGCTGGTTTCCGTATTCCAGGAAAGACTGTAATATCAGTTTGATAGTATTAGCTGCCCTCTACAGGTATTTATTCTACTCCCACACACACACGCACACGCACACGAATATATATATGTGTGTGTGTGTGTGTGTGTGTGTGTGTGTGTGTGTGTGTGTGTGTGTGTATTCTGTGATAGGTTTGCCACTCAGGCGTCGTATCGTATGAAGAGGTAGACTAACACACTCGTGAAGAATTTTATCTTTATTATAGACGTTTCGAAGGTATAAACTAGACCTCCATCATCAGTAAACTGTCAAAAGAACCATTAAAAAGTCAGTTAGACAATATCTCGCACGAATATTAGGTTGTAAATCAAATTACAAGTACGTAAGATAAATGAGAACAATATATACATAGAAGTAATTTAAACATAAAAAAGAACGACATACAATATAAACATATAAATGGAATGACATAACATATACAACGAAAAAAAATATAATAACCAAAAAGGTAAAAAACTAACCAAAGTGGCTGTTGGTGAGAGGGAAGGACTATTGGGTAAATATGGTTGTTGCGGTGGTTGTTTAGTTCGGGTTTCCTCTTCTGTATGTATATGGATTCCGAGATGAAGAGATTTGGACGGGAGGAATGGGAAGATAAAACACTGAAATATGTGTTGGAGAAAGGGTGTGAGTGGAGTAGAGAGTGTTCTGTTATAGAAAGATGGTTTGCTCGGCGGAAGACCAGTCCTGAAGGATTTGCCTTTGTGTTCTAGGATGCGGTGTCGTAACCATCGTGAGGTAGATCCCACGTACCGAGCTTGGCAGCAAGGACAAGTAAATAAGTACACTACGTTAAACGGTATGTCGTTTTCTCGGGCTCGAGCCAGTGGTCAGAGCGCAGGCATTTTTACGACTGCCGCGGCGGGGAATTGAACTCAGTCCAGTATTCTAGCCACTGGACCATCGCGGCAGTCACACACACACACACACACACACACACACACACACACACACACACACACACACACACACACACACACACACACTCACACACACACACACACACATATATATATATATCCTCCCTGACCAAGCCTCGAACTTAGGTCACTCTGGGTATGAGACCGGAAGGCCAGTACTAAATCAACCATGCCACACGACCCACTAAAAGGAGTGTGCAACTGGGGTCTAACTAGTTCCATAGACATTACCTTTCTACTCATACGTGACTAGTGCCTCGTGGGCACTCGGTGGAAATGGATTTGGAAATTCAAAAACTAAGACAGATATACTGAGGTATATAAATATCAATGCGGCATTGCATTATTCCATCTTTCATATAGGAACAGGAAAAGGGAGAATGAAAAAGTACCAGTGGACAGTAATGAATAAATGGATAGATCTTAAGAAAATGAAACAAGACTAAAACAAACAGACTTATGGTAACAATGATACTGATGATGTTATCGATAGCGTTAATTATTATTATTATTATTATTATCATCATCATCATTACCTCCATCTTTTTATTTTCTATGTAATTATTAGTGTTGTTAGTATCATTACTATCATTATTATTAATATTATTACTATTAACTATATAATGTCAACATGGCGCTAAGTAGTTCATCAAACACCAAGGGAAAAAAAACAACAACAATATACATATGTATATGTATATGTATATATATATATATATATATATATATATATATATATATATATATATATATATTCATATATATATATATATATATATATATATATATATATATATATATATTATATAATACATATATATATATATATATATATATATATATATATATATATATATATTTATATATATATATAATCGCTGCTTGTCTTTCTGTTTCCCTCTCTCTTTCTGTATTTCTCTGTGTGTCGGTCGGTCTCTCTCTCATCTCTTTCTTTTTCTTTCCCTCTCTCTCTTCCTACGTCTCCTCCCCACTCTGTCTATCTTTCTATCTACCGGTTCATCTATCTATACAGTAGATAGAGAGATAGGTATGTATATATATATTTTTTTTTTTATATATTTTTTTATTTACACTAACTACAATATCCTTATTTCATCCCTATTAGGTTGCTACTTACTTTATCATTAAGTAACCTTCCGTCCTTTCAGGGCAGAAATCGCCTTCAATTTGGCCAGCGTCTCCTTCGCCGAGAGACGCTGCTTGTGGTTTGCATGGCGGCCGTTCGTTATCAGCTCTTGCAGGTCGTCGGCGACGGCGCTGTTGCACTTGGCGATATCGGATAGGATGTCGGCCATGCCCTGCATGTCGCACTTGAGGGAGACAAGCTTGCCCATATAAAAGCAAGGGCAGTACCACTCCCCGGCGCTCCCCTTGGGGACCATTATCTTGAGGAGAGTGCCGGCCGGCCGGGCCAACCCGAAGTCAATGATGTGCACGCCCGTGGGCTTGCCATTCGCGTCCACGTCCACAAGGACGTTGTTGCTCTTCAGGTCGCAGTGCACGACGCCCTTTGCGTGCACCTCCCGCAGGGCCTTGGCCACTAGGCGAGCGACCTTGACGCACGTGCTAGCCTTCTTCTTCTTTCTAAGGAATCTGTCGAGAGACAGTGTCCCGCACAAGGTCATGACGAATGCGGGCTTCTCGGGGCACGTCGCCAGGACGAGGGGCGCTCCCCCGGCGCCCGCGAGCTGCTCCATTACTTTGACCTCTTCCTGAAAGGTGTCCTTCTCTATGGCCTGCCCCACCTTGAGCGCGCAGGACTCCCCGTTGTAGATCACGCAGAACACGGTGCCACTGGTGCCACGGCCGAGGGTTCCAAGCTAGCTCTCCTGTAGGAGCTCCACCTCCCTCCGGCTCAGGGTCGGAATCATGGTGCCAACAAGCGAAGGTAGCGCTCTGTGTAAAGTAAATCCCCAGCTCGCAGTGAATTATGCAGCGACTTGTGGGGGTGACTTCGCCTGCGTAGGGAAGGTAGCATCTTCATGCGCGTATGCGGTGTGTGTGTGTGTATGTGTGTGTGTGTGTGTGTGTGTGTGTGTGTGTGTGTGTGTGTGTGTGTGTGTGTGTTTGTGAGAGTGATATGTGCGTGTATATGTGTGCGTATGAATGTGTGTGTGTGTGTATGTGTGTGTGTATATGCGTGTGTGTGTATATGTGCGTGTGTGTGTGTATGTGCGTGCGTGTTTGTGCGTGTGTGTGTGTATGTGCGTGCGTGTTTGTGCGTGTGTGTGTGTGTGTGCGTGTGTGTGTAGGTGCGTGTGTGTATATGTGCCGGGAGCGCGTGTGTATGTGTGTGTGCATATATATGTGCGTGCGTGTGTGTGTGTGTGTGTGTGTGTGTGCGTGCGTGCGTGCGTGTATGTGCGTGCGTGTGTGTATGTGCGTGTGTGTATGTATGTGCGTGTGTGTGTATGTGTGCGTACGTGCGTGCGCGTGTATGTGCGTGCATGCGTATGCGTGTGCGCGTGTATTTGTGCGTGTGTGTGCGTGTGTGTGCGCGTACGTAAGTGCGTGCGTGTGTGTGTGTGTGTGTATGTGCGTGCATGCGTATGCGTGTGTGTGTGCGCGTGTATTTGTCCGTATGTGTGTGTGTGTGTGTGCGTACGTACGTGCGTGTGTGTGTGTGTGTGCGTACGTACGTGCGTGTGTGTGTGTGCGTGTGTGTGTGTGCCTACGTGCGTGCGTGCGTGTGTGTGTGTACGTGCGTGCGTGCGTGCATGCGTATGTGTGTGTGTGTGTGTATGCGCGTGTATTTGTGTGTGTGTGTGTGTGTGCGTGTGTGTGTGTGTGTGCGCGTACGTACGTGCGTGTGTGTGTGTGTGTGTGTGTGCGTACGTGCATGCGTATGTGTGTGTGTGTGTGCGCGTACGTACGTGCGTGTGTGTATGTGCGTGTGTGTGTGTGCCTACGTGCGTGTGTGTGTGTGTATGTGTGTGTGTGTGTGTGTGTACGTGCATGCGTATGTGTGTGTGTGTGTGTGTGTGTATGCGCGTGTGTGTGTGTGTGTGTGTGTATGTGTGTGTGTGTGTGCGTGCGTGTGTGTATGTGCGTGCGTGTGTGTATGTGCGTGTGTGTATGTATGTGCGTGTGTGTGTGTGTGTATGCGTGCGTGTATGTGCTTGTGTGTGTGTGTGGGTATGTGTGTGTGTGTGTGTGTGCGTGCGTGTATGCGCGTGCGTGTGTGTGTGTGTTTGTGTGTGTGTGTCTATATACGTGCATGTGGGCATGTACGCGCGCGCGCGTGTGTATGTATGTATCTGTGTTTGTGTGTGTGTGTGTGTGCGTGCGTGCTTGCGTGTGTGCTTTTGCGTGTGTGTAATTGCGTGTGTGTATGTGTGTGTGTGCTTCTGTGTGTATGTGCGTGCGTATGTGTGCGCGCGCATACGTACACACATACATGGGAAAAGTACATACATAGGAAAATTTCAGTAACTTATCAATGTAAAAAAAAAAAGATATCGTTCATTTTTTTTTGTTCCTCCCGCTCATTCATCAAATTTCATTTCTCTTCGTATTATAATCCATGTTGTGTAAACTATTTCCCTACTGTAATGCTAAAGTTATTAGTCGCACGTTATGTTTTGCAAATTTTCTTTTCTTAATGAAATAATTCCTGTGAACTTT